TAATTGTAGTTGATGATGATGATGATGATGACTCCTCCAAGTCAAATTTATAGTCTACATCTTGTCTTCTTTTGTTCTTTGGGTCTTAAAATTCTTGATGCCGACACATATGGAGGGTAATTAAGTCATCACCTTGTTATTGTTTGGGTTTTAAAGCAAAATTATGAACATTGTCTCTAAATATCTGTTCTGTTCTGTTCTGTTCATGGAAATGTTGATGGAGATGCTGATTGATGATACGATACACTCAATCACTGAACCATCCATTTCAACCCTTACATTGCATTTTATAACACCACACAAATTTCTGTGGTCATTAATATCGATTGCATTATCCTCCAACAAAATGTTTTCCTTCATTTTCTTTTTCTAAAAAAAATTGTTTAAATGAACTTTCCTTTTCCCTTTTTATAGCATTTGGGAGTACGGATGAGAGTAATTGGAAAAGCGCAAAAAAAAAAATCATTGAATCGATTCGGATTGATTGATTTAATTTAATTTTTATTTGAAATATATGGTTAGGTTTTGATTTTTAAAGAAGAAATTTTTAGGTATATTTTGGTTCATAAAAATCCTTTAAGTAGATTTTCAATTCAAAAATTATGTTAGAACTAAAAGTTTAAATTGAATCGATTTAGTGCAATTTAATAAACAATGCGATCCAAATTTTTTTAGTAAAACCATTTCGACTTGCTCTAATTTAATTCCATTTAAATCAAACTCACCAAAATTAATGCTTAACTCTGCATATGAGATCATTTTACTTTATGAGATTCAAATCCTCATGCTCACTTTCAGTGCTGCAAAATAAATTAGGTAAACATCGAAATGGCTTTCAATTGGTTTGGACAAAAATTTTGAGACCTAGCTATATGGTACAAGTGTACAAAAGTTGGCAGTTAGTGCTTATAAATGAAGAGTTTGAGATTTTCAGCGAAGCTACTCTTAATTAGTAAAATTGCCAATTCTTTGACAAAACTTAAAAATTTTCATGTCTTTCCCCAACTGGCTGTATATGCCATTTGATACACTTTAAATGGTAGATTATTAGATCCACCACAAATGTTTTGGTATATCATTTTCTTCATGTGGGTTTTGCTGGCTAGCTACATGCTTATCATATCAAAATCAAAGAAGATGTCGGAACTCTTTTCTGTTTTTTATTAGTTGGGAGGTTCGATAAATTAAAATAACATTGTTGGCTAAACAATAAGGAGTAGTCTTCCCTTGAACTTAAGGATGAAAGTGAGATGGATATTTTTGAGTACTCGCTCCGCTCCATCTGTTTAATGAGGATACAGATAATCATTATTTTGTTTTAGACGGATACGGGTAGTGAAATTACTACCCGCAACGGATATCGAAAGGGTATGAGTATTAGACTCTAGGTATCTGCTACCTATTATCCGCTATCTATTATCCACTATAATAAACAGTTTTGCCCATATGTACCCGTGGTTACCCTACCCATGTATTATAGTAAAAAATACATTTTAAATAAGTTTAGGTTTGGATAGATTAAAATGTGCGGATATTTTACCCGTTTAAACTTTTAAGGGGTATTTTAAATGGATTAGGATGGATACAGGTAATTAAATGAATATTTAAAATGGGTTTAAGATGGATACGGGTAGTTCAAATTTGCAGGTACCCGTTGCACCAAAGTTTGAGACGTATACAGACAGTTCAAAATTTGCAGGTATTTGCTGAGCCAATTTGTGAAATCACTTATGGTTGAATGAACTCGAATTCAAAATTTTTCACTTCTAACATAAATAAGAATACTAATCAGACCACACTTAATTTTTAAGACGTTGGATCTCTTTATATGAAAATGGAAAGGTGGTATTTATGAATTCAAAGCTTTTAGTTTTGATAATCTTAGTTATAGGTTGGGGGTTGATGTGTTTCACTTTCCTTGGGAGTTGTCTCGGATGGTACACAGTATTTAGTAGGCTTGCCGGGTTTGGACTCAAACCGGACCAGCAGTCCTTACTGTCAATAACTAACTCATTGTTTGTCCAAAGTCGGGTAGCATAAGGGACCATCTAGCTAGCTAAGCTAGTTTGCCGATCACTTGTTTTGGTTTGGCTAATTAACTTTGAAATTACCTAGTTCTACTTTTTCACCTGTTAACTTTTCTCCCCTAAGATATCACTAATTACTTTCTATATTGATGACTGTTTCTTTTTAGTGGAATCATTTCAGGTTAGGTTTAACTTTGGTAAGTTATGTTTATCTTATCACGATCGTTCAACTCTTTAATTAATTAGAATTAAAATTATAATAATAATGACTCGAAAAACGACGGTTTAATCAGTAGAAGTGAACTATATCTCCAAATAAATTTTACTTGTATAGTTAAGTGTTAAATTCTAGAGTGGCTACTTGCAAAAATATTTTGCCCGAAAATACTCCCAGCTTGAGCATCGAGACACGTTTCTTAAAAAAAAAAAAACCTCAATTCAATAAGGAGTAATTATTTTTAAAAAGTTAGTATAATTTAAATATACTATAAATACTAATAAATTTTTTCAATACAAAAAAATATATAATGGAGCATTTAAATTAAATATTTGATTATTGAGACTATCTATTAACTCCGATAATTAAAAATCTTTATCAAACACATTTGATGTAATTATTAAGGAGACGTTCGAAAAAATTAGCTGTTTTATTAGTTATTTTGTTAGTTGTTTTAATAGCATTTAACTATTTGAATAGCTAGCAGTTATTTGAGTAACTTTCCATAAAATGTTAAAAACTAAACATTATATTGATTAATCTTTTATATAACACTATCTTAATTTCTAAATGCTAGTTCAAACATTATATTACCAAACACTATATTAAATAACATTTAGTGTTTTGACTGCTACTTAAAAAGTTATTGCTGAATATAACCTAATTACAAATCTAACTATCCACTACATAAAATAAACGATCTGCTTTTTAAGTAAAATCTCAACAACCTTTTAGTGATTTATCTTTTTTTTTTTTTTTTTTTTTTTTTTTTTTTTTATTTATCTTTTTTTTTTTTTTTTTTTTTTTTTTTTTTTTTTTTTTTTTTTAATTTTTTTTTTTGGAATAGTAGAAGGCTAGAAGCCTGTTATGTGCAATTTTGAGATTCAAGTAACCTTCCATATTGGTAAACTTCCAATCAACGTCCTTTCTTTGTTTTCAACGAATTCGTGAGTAGAATCAATATGTTCCAAACGTAGTGCGATTCACGTTTTTGCAAAAAGAAGTCAAGTGAGGGTACAAAACCTCATGAAAAACGAGCTTCCTATTCAGATGGAGGCTTCTTATTACCGTCATGCATGTCTTCCATTTTGACCACTTTCCATTTGAAGATAACTAGGTGTCATTTCCAGGATTTTCAGGCACCTCTAAATCTTCTTGTCGGATATATGTACATTGAGTCTCTAGATAGAGTTGAAATTACAACAGTGTGAGTTGACACGGGATGATATAATATTTACTGTTTAGTTTAAACTCTAATTTTAATACAAGTTTCGAAAGATCGAAATTTAATTTGAGTTTACTTAAGATTTAGTTTTCGTATTCTCAATTCGATTATTAGAAATATTAAAAAATCGACTTAACTGAATTAAAAAATAAATAAACTTAACTCGGTTCGATTATTATTACTATAAATAATAAGAATATGTGATATCCCATTGAGATAATAGTATATATGCCTCTTATAATAATAATGTATGCTACCATGTTGACCTCATTCAAATTTTATTTTTTCTTGTCATTTTTTATAAAATAAATAATTAAATATTAATTTTATTTTAAAATAGATAATACAGTTAATAATAAAATTAAACAAACAAGAAAGAAATTAAATTAAAATTTTATCTACGATAATCTAAAAGAGATACTCCCTCTGTCCCATTTTTATTTGCATGGTTTGACAAAACAAGTATATTAAGAATTAAGTCGATAAAAGTTTTTTTGTTATTTTTTACCTTAAACTCATCGAAGATATTAATAAAAGTCTCTCATTTAATGAAGGATCATAAAGGTTATGATGGAAAAACTAATTGTTTATATATCTAAATTTTGAAACTTTGCAAATATTTTAGGACATCCAAAAAAAGAATAACAAGCAAATAAAATGAGACGGAGGAAATATTATCTATATTTGAATACACCTTTAACCCAAAACCTAAGAACTTGGGCTTTCTTTATATTGGGCTTACTGAAGCTTTTTGCATTTCCTTGGGCCAAATAAATGTTTTCCTAAATCTAAGCCCAAGATACCATGATCAGGCCTGAAAGACTTTTTCCCATATTGAGTCCAACTAGACCCGGGTCAACAGGTGCCATTGCATTATGCATTAAATATCCTTATTTAAAATATCACTACAATAACTATGGTTATTATTAATTTTGAGATTAAAAAATGGATAATTTGGTCAAATTATCTTTAATTTTATTTTCCTTTAAAAAAATTTTTAATTTTATTATAATTTAAGAAAATTTATTAATTAATTAATTATTATTTATATTTTGAGACACCGGGTGAGTAATCTTATTAACTTAGCCTAAACGTGACGTCCGTAAAGTTTGAAACTAATTGATAAACTCGTTAGCCCAAACTGGAAGAATAAAAGACCAGCCCAGCCCGCCACAACCCAAGAGCATCGGGAAAAGCTACACCGCAAGCGCACAATAGCAAGAACTGAACCCTTTCTCTGCAGCTAATGCTCGACGGTGCCCCAGATTTGGAGGCTTCTACTCACACTGTGAACCGCTTTTTTTTTTTTTTTTTTTTTTTTTTGCTTTTTTCTTTTTTTTTTTTTTTTTTTTTTTTTCTTCTTCTTTTCTTTTTTCCTCTGTTCCTCTCTCTCTCTCTCTCTGCTCTCTCTCTAAAAGAAAAATCACCTCCGCTAAGCTTTCTTCCGGAGAATAGCGAGAGATTTACAGAGCCAAGCTAGGTCAGGCTGTCATTTTCGTTTTTTTCTTGGGCTTTTATTTTCTGCTTGATTTTTTTTTTTTTTTTTTTTTTTCTTCTTCTTTCTTTTTTCCCTCTGTTCCTCTCTCTCTCTCTCTCTCTCTCTCTCTAAAAGAAAAATCACCTCCGCTAAGCTTTCTTCCGGAGAATACGAGAGATTTACAGAGCCAAAGCTAAGGTCAGGCTGTCATTTTCGTTTTTTCTTGGCTTTATTTTCTGCTTGATTTTCCTTTTTCTCGGGAAAACTACGGAAAAATGGAAAGGAAAAAATTAAATTCGCTAAGCGTTTATGTTTCTAGAGAAGAAAAGTAATCCATTTAAGTTTGAGAATTGGAAATGTCTCCTGAAATTTGTTTGTTGCATTTTTTTCCCTTTTTTTTTTGCTAGTTCTTGTTCTTATATTGTATTTTACTTCTGAATGGTTGCTTCCAAGAAACCTGAGAAAAAGAGAGAAAAGAGGAGAAGGAGAAGATGCCATTTATCTTTCCTTTTAAAGAAAAAAATTTGTAACGCTTCTTGATATTCTTTGCTTAAGTTAGCCATGGATGATTTCTTTACTTTCTGCTAATTTATGTAAAGTCCCAATAGTTTGTTTTTGTAATTAGAAAAAGGTTGGGCGAAACAGCTGGAAAATGGCAATGTTTTTGTTCAATGCATTTAGTATTATGCATTTATACATGCATATTCATTAAGTGTAAAAATCAGAGTTTTTGCTTGAAGAGTGGCTTAGAAAGGGAAAGAAAAAGAAAAATTGCAAGATGCTTAATTACTGTTTTTCATTGCTCTGGTTTGTTGTTTGTAGAAACTAGGCCTGTTTCCAAGTAATCTGGAGCAACTTGGTTTATTATGCAATGAATTGCTTTCAATGATAATGCCTGAGTTTTGTTGACACTAGAGAGTATAGACATGCATGTCTTGATATTTGACTGCGTGAGAAGAGTTTTGCATTAGAGCTTGCTGCATGAATATTGCTCTTGAGTTTTCTTGATTGTGCGTGGGTTTAGTAGTCATAATGTCTTATGATATGGTCGATTTATTATTTAGTCATACAATGTATTAAGATATGGCAGCATTTAAAAATTTTTCCTGAACTGTGTTTTAGTTCCCTTTTATGGCTTGCTATTATTACTTTCTAAGTTTCTATATATTTTAATGTACTTGTCATCATAAACGATTATTGTAATTTTTCCCCATTTTGCTGATTTCGGATATCAGCAAAATCAGTTGATATCCAAATTTTTCCTGGTTCAGACAATGTGGCTCAAAAATTTAAATAGTATTTTCTGAGTGTTTATTTACTCAAGAGTTACTATAAAGCCAAACTTTTAATGATTCTTCCAGTGCAGGACTAAGGCACTACAATCCCCCTCATTCAAATATGGAACGTCCTTCCTGTGTCATGTCATAATTGGAGTCCTAGATTGTTAGTACTGGCTTATTTACTGATACAGAAACCCCTTGTTAAATCTTTCAATGTGAATAGTTTTGAACACTCCCTTCAAAATGTGATATTTTTGTTGTGCCACATAGGCTGATTCTAGATCTTTTTCAATTGATGACTTTTGTGAATGCTTGCAGCCGTATAACACTGACACAACATACTACAATATGCCACATCCTTGAAACATAGCACACCTAGGCATCCACATTATTATGGTTAGGATCACCTATAGTCAAGGATGTAATACCTTCAGCAACGTATTGGCCTTACAATTTGGTTGAGCATGCTCATTCACAGATCCAAAAGCTTTAATAGCTGTGCGGCTGTGCCATTTCTTTCTTCCTCTCTGAAACATCATCTATTAATCTTAATTTTTTCACCATGGATATGTCAAATTTATATATATGTGATCACCTTAACTCTGTCACAACCACCCCTCTTACGTTGAAACTTCCAAACAGAATAAAGAGCAGAAATTTCTAGGTTGGAAGAGAACCTAACCCCAAAGAAACCAATACTCTTAAGGTTGCATAGACAGCTTATTATGTCCACGCTAAATATGAGGTGCTTATGTTGATAATGGTATTTTAAGTTCTACCTGAATTATCCGTGTGAAGGAAAACTTAACTTATGCTTGATTCATTTCCTATTATATTTATTGAAATGTTTATAGCAAGAGTTATTTGTGCAATTGGAGTTGTGCATATATTTCTTTAGTTGAGTTGGACTGATGAGTTATACTTCTCTCTTGCTCAGAGTTATATTTTGCTAACTAAATAAAATGAGAAACTGTCTGATGTTTAATATGTGTAGCAGGTGTATGAAGTATTGATGGTTCAATAGCATCCAGATTACTTGAATTGAGTGACACTTGTTCCTTTTACCGGCAATTTAGGAGCAAAGCCTCATATATGGGCCTGGATTTTGAATTGTATGTTTTGATTCTTTTGGCTATGGATACAAGTTGTGTCACATTGATTTTTTATGATACATGTTAATTATTAGCATAACAGCCATACAGAAAGTTTTACTTGCTAGGAAATTGAGGTAACCTTATTTTAGATAGGGAAGCTGATATATATAGCCAATTAGCCTTTATGTTCAAGGCCGAGCACATGGGTGTTTCTCCATCACAAGTTAATCGTCATACAAAAAGTTATTCATGCTCTAAACAAAGTGTACCTGAGGAAACATCTGATTATGGTATATCAGAACAGAAACATAACATTAGGTCAGAAACTGTACAGAGGGAACCTGTTCCTATTAGCACTATAGTTTCGCCAGTTGGTGCTAGTGAAGCATTGAAACTGTCTTCTGAAGATGACATAAAAATTACTCATACTGAAAATTCAGATCCACAATCCAAAGGTGCATGCAAGAGTAGTTTGACAGATAAAAGCTCAGGCCTTAAACTAACTGCAGTTGACCAGAAACTCGAGTTTGGTTCAGAAGATACACATGGAGAGCTTGGTGTTGTAGGTGAACATAGTGGACCAGCAAAAGGAAAAAGTTCGCTTGGATCTGGAGTTGTTAAGGAAGATAATGCACTATTGACCTTCTCCGCCAATGAAGCCTTGCAACTTTTGCCTGCACATATAGCTAAGAATTCTCTTACTATGGGTTTGGAATTACCTTGTGAAGATGCAATCAATAGATGCCATCAACTATCTACATCCGAACAGAAAGTTGAGTTTGCTTCTGATGATGCTACGTGTGACCCATTAGAAGAAAGTAAAGTGCCTGCCAGTGATCTCTTACGAGATGAATTGGTGGAAATTAACAATGAATTATCCTGTTGTACTGCTACTAGGCATTTGGGGACACAGCTCACAACTAAGAGTTCTCCTCTCGAACATTTAGGTATGCCTTCCGACAGTGAGATCAACACTTGTGCTACTGAAAAACTGGAACCACCTCATGACAATATGGATAATCACTTGAACCTTCAACAGTCAGATACACCATCTAAAGATGTAAGCATTAATTCTAGCCGGGTGGGTGTTAGGGTCAAAAGAACTGCAAAATCAACAAGGAAAAAGTATGTATTAAGATCCTTGAGAAGAAGTGATAGAGTACGGCAGTCAAGATCACAAGAAAAACCTAAAGGTCCTGATCCCAATGCAGATATGGCTAATGCGAGCTCCAATATAGAGAAAACAAGGAAAAAAAGGAAAAAGAGACAACGGAAGAGTGTTGAAGGTGATGAATATTCAAGAATTAGGAAACATTTAAGATATTTATTGAATCGGATAAGCTATGAACAAAGCCTGATTACAGCTTATTCTGCGGAAGGTTGGAAAGGACTAAGGTGTGTACTTTCACTATGTTTCTCATTGTTTAATTTTAAGGCAAATTTGCATTTCTCTCTGTGTTGAAGGATTCTACTGTGAAATTTAATACAAATGTTTTTTAGTGATCCTTTTTCATTTTTCATTAGCTATATGCACAAAATATCATTATTTTAGCTGCTTTCCTACTGCCTTATTCAGTTGAATCATCCTACTTAAATATGTAAAACTGAACATATTTTAGTGAAGAAGAAAAAGAAGAAACATTGGAATAGTACATGCTGGTGAAGGAAGAGTTAAATGGATTATATTAGGTGCAATGGTCTTGTGGAAATGCAATAAAAGATTGAAATCCAATTTGGATCTAAACTAATGGATCAACTGTCTTTCATGTATCCACGCCAAATTTGAGATGCCCATTTTAAATTTTGATGTTGAATCTAAGTTAATTTATTGTGAATTCTAGTCTATTGTGGTCTGGTTTATTTCAGATAAGGTTTGAAGTGATGTGGAACACGTTACACAACTGACCACACAATAATGTGTGGTGCAGTGTAATATTACATTTCAGTTCTACCAAACTAATACTTTAAGGGGTTTCAAACATATTGCCTCTGCATGGTTGGACAAGCAAAGCAGAAATATTTCGATACTGAAATTTATGAAATCTTTAAAATTGTTTCAAATGAGAATTAATACTTTTCAATATGAAAAAGTATTGGAGGTTACTGTCTTTCTCCATTCTTACTAGGGGGGAGGAGCTAAAACTTATAAGTAAGAGGCAAACTAGTATAAAAATTGGTTAAAATGAAGAATAAACATTTATCAAGGGGGATAAAATGGTTAAAGAGCAGTTAAAATCACTATGGAATCAAAGCTCCTCTCAAGTTTACAAAATGCACGAGAATGAGGAAATAGATAAATTTTAGCAATACAATGTCTTCTTCTTTATGTTGGAAAAAGGGTGCCATCTTGTCTTATAATAATTTCTTTGTTTTCTGGAAGATGTGCTGTTTGTTGAAAGCCAAATAACTTTATTCTTATCTTGCTTAAGACACAACCATCTAGAAAAGACCTTGTTCATTCATCTGTCTTTTTGCATACTGTTGTTGCTTGATGCATGAATTTCTGAGGATTATACACTGTAGTTTTACTTTCTGATTGATGTGAAATTATTGAATCATCAAAAAGTGAAAAGAATCGAAGATATGAAATGCGCAGATTTTCGTTGGTCAAACAGTCGAAAAAAATGAAAGAAAAGAAAAAAAGAAAGATTGAAGAATTATTTGAAAAAAATCTAAATTTACTAAGTTCTAAAGATAGAATAACTTCAATATGTCATTTTTTTCTTGTTTGAATTTTCTTCTTTTAGTGATGAGCAGAGAACAGAGGGTGGTTTAGGTGTAACGTAAAGTTACTCCACATGGAAACCTCTCTACAAAAAAGTAGGGGGAAGGCTGTGTATGTCAACCCTTCACAAAGCCCACACATGTGGGATGCTCATGTGCTGGGTCGCTCTTTTTAAGAGGATGGCTTTGGTGTAGCTGTAAAATTACTCCACTTGTGATTTTGATATCATGAGATTTGAGTCACAGAAACAGTCTCTCTATAAAAAAGTAGGGCGAAGGCTGCATACATCAACCCTCCAAGAGTCCACATATGTAGGATGCTTCGTGCACCTTTTAGTGACGAGTAAAGAACCTCAGGTAATGATATTCAGACATGGTACAATGAAGCATATAAAAAATTCTGGAACATAGACAAGCCCGACATTTGGGAACACATCCACACCTGATACTCGTATTAAAAACCAAGTAACTTAAATAATTTATTATGTATTTTGTGGTTTCTCTTTTCTTTCTTTTTCTGACCAGCATAATATATCAATAACAGATAGTAGTCAATATTTAGTGGGAGGTTAGAGTGATTTTGGAACACATCCTCCCTTTCACAGGTCGAGCTCTCTTTCTCCCATCCCGTGCAGAAATTTACCCTAGGACAGTTTTGATTCTAGGAAAACATACCAATATCAACTTGTCTAGTGATTTCCCAGCAACTCTTTCTTTCTGCACATGTACTTTGCCATTTTGTCCAGAATGTTCTTTTATTAGCTGCACTATAATATGATATAGTGGGGAAAGTAAGGCCATCTGAATAGTTCTTCTTCTTCCTTTCTCTCTGTCTCCCCCAAATGATATATGTATCCATTTTTACATATAATGTGAATCTTCCTATAGCTTATTTCAAACGCATTGACACCGTTTTTGCAGTCTAGAAAAATTAAAGCCAGAGAAGGAGTTGCAAAGAGCCACATCTGAAATTCTTCGACGAAAATTGAAAATAAGAGATTTATTTCAACGTGTAGATTCACTATGTGCTGAAGGGAGGCTCCCAGAATCATTATTTGATTCTGACGGACAAATTAGCAGTGAGGATGTAGGAGATTATTATTTATTTTAATTCATGTTTTCTTGTTAACAGAATCTTATTTACACTCATCACTTGAATTTTTTGTTTTTAGTAATTGTCTGTTGGAAATATCAAGTCTTTGCTAAGAAATTCTTTTATGGCAGATATTCTGTGCAAAATGTGGGTCCAAAGACATGACTGCTGATAATGATATCATACTTTGCGATGGTGCCTGTGACAGAGGGTTCCATCAGTTTTGTCTACTACCGCCATTGTTAAAAGAAGACAGTAAATCCTTTTTGCCTGCCTGATTGCAATAAATTGGATGTCATTAGTATCTACTTTGTCAGTTGCTTCCTTGACCTTTTTTTTTCTTTTTTTTTTCTTTTCCTCTTGTTTGCATGTAGTTCCTCCTGATGACGAGGGTTGGTTATGCCCTGGATGTGATTGCAAAGTTGATTGCATTGAGTTGCTTAATGACTCTCAAGGAACGAATATTTCAATCAGTGATAGATGGGAGGTAAATGACCTAATCTCCAGCCTTGTTTATTGGTTACAAGTTCATTGATTGTGTTATTCATGTCATACTTGTATCTCATATACAGAAGGTTTTCCCCGAGGCTGCAGCGGCTGGACAAAACCCAGATCCCAACTTTGGACTTCCTTCAGATGATTCTGATGATAATGATTATGACCCTGATGGACCAGAAATTGATGAGAAGAGTCAGGGAGATGAATCAAGCAATGATGAATCTGACTACACTTCTGCATCTGATGAACTAGAGGCTTCACCTGGTGATGAGCAGCAGTTGGGGCTTTCTTCTGATGATTCAGAGGATGATGACTATGACCCTGATGCGCTAGATCGTGATGAGAATGTGGAGGAAAGTTCAAGTTCTGATTTTACATCTGATTCTGAGGATCTCACTGCTACTCTTGATGATAATCATTTGTCTGGAGAAGATGAAAACCATATGTCTATTGGACTCCATGGAGATTCTAAACACAGGGGAAATGGGAAGCAATCTACACACAGTGAATTGTCACTCTTAGATCTGAATTCAAGAAAAGATGGGTCTGGTCCCATCTCTGGGAAAAGAGATGTTGAGAGATTAGACTACAAAAAACTGTATGATGTGAGTTCCCTTTCATCTTTTTTTTTTATCAAGGTTCTCTGCTCCAGTCATACGTGCCAGCTTATCTTTCTCATTCAATGTTTAACTATTTCAAGATGCACAATTTTTTATTACAAGATTCTAATCTTCTGTTCAAAATGGTGTTGATCTCCTTACTGTTGAGAAGTGAGGTAAAGTAGTTCTTTCTGCATAAATGAGTTATGTGTTATTAGAATATCATTTTTTTACTCTATGTAACATGCTCATGTGGAACATGATTTTTGGCAGCAAATGGAAATGCTGACAAGTCAATTTAGTTCGTGGAAATATTTCAGCATTTTGTGCATGCTTACATGTTCAATAGGATTCTACCATGCAGGACAAATATCTGTCCTCAGTCCCATTTTAGTTGTCCTTTATAAAGAAATGGGAATGAAGATTGTTGGTCAAAATTCTAGTGTATAAAAATTATACCTTGTGTCTACAGCTGATGCAAAAGATGATAATTTTGTTAAGCCTTTTCTATTTAGGTTTGAAAATTTAAAAAAAATTATAGAAATATATTTCAGGCCAAAATTTTAGCAGCCTCCTTTTGCACTTGAAGAGAGATGTATTGCTTTTTGTGTAATACATTATTCCCATTGCAATGACTTTTTAATCCTAACATAACATGTTTTGAGGCATTCTTTTTTGTGCATTCTTATACTGTTGTTTTCTTCTGTCTTGTTAACTTGTATTATTTGTTTCCCTATCTGGGAAGGAAACATATGGAAACGCTTCATCTGACTCAAGTGATGATGAAGATTTCACCGATGATGTTGAACCAAGGAAGAGGAGGAAGGAAACATATGGAAGCACTTCATCCGACTCAAGTGATGATGAAGATTTCATCGATGATGTTGAACCAAGGAAGAGGAGGAGAAGTACAGAAGTTGGTCAAGCATCAGTGAATGCAAATGCCTTTGTAAGCAAGACTGCAAAGCAAGACACAACTCCCAAAAGACATCGTCAAAAGTCTAAATTTGCAAACACAAGCACATCATCAACTAAAGGACACGAGGGAGCTTCTCCATCTAGTTCCTCTGGAAAGCCGGTTAAGTCGTCAGGATATAGAAGACTTGGAGAAACTGTAACTCAGGTATTTGTTGTGATTAGTATGTTTATCGCTGCTAGTTTGTTTGATAATGTGAAATAAGTAGTAGAATTTCCAGTAAAGAACGAAGGAAATAAAGAAAGAATTTTGTTTGTCATGTCTGCACCTCTCTTCAAGAGAGGTAATCTTGTCTGCTAAATTACATTTCTTGTCCTTATTCGATATAGCCAGTTACTTTTGCGCAAAACAAATAAATAAAAACAAAAATCAAGCAACGATGGTCATTCTTTTCTTAAAAGCACTCTTTTTCTTTGAAAATGGATGGTTTATATGTGAATTGATGATATAGTTAATGCCCCTTTTAGCTTTTGGGCAAGGGCAGAAAGTTCTATGATCAAGTAAAACAGTAGAGTAGGAAGAGTGGAAAAGGTAGCGCGAGTGACTAAACTACAACTGGTTGTCAGAAAATATTGTTTCACATTTGATTCCTTCATTTGAATGTATGTTTCAGTACAATAAAATGTTCTAATGGACCTTCACTTGCTCTTAATTGCATCCACACGCTATATTAATTGTTGCCTCCTTTTCAGTCCATATAAGAATTTTGACGGCTTCCTGCATTGGTTATAGAACATAAAGATTGATGGCTATTTTGTTTTGCAGGGTCTCTACAAATCCTTCAAGGAAAATCAATATCCTGACCGAGCTAAAAAAGAAAGTCTTGCAAAAGAGCTAGGAATTACTTTCCAGCAGGTTATACTTTAACTCATTGCCAACTTAAAATGACCTTTTTTTGGCCCCTTAAGTTTATTGAACACCATTTCCATGTCCTGTTTATCCAAAATTAATAGCATTTTGCAGGTTAGCAAGTGGTTTGAGAATACTCGGTGGAGCTTCAACCATCCACCATCTACAGATGCAAGTACAGTCAGAAAAACTACAAAAGAGGATTCTCAGCTGCCTAAAACAAATACAGAACTATGTACACCAGAGCCTGAAAAAATTTGCAGAAATACTACAAGCAATGGAGCTCAAAGTGAGGAATCACCCAAGGTTGATGATGCCACAGGTGGAAGCTACATTGGAGACACTAGAGACACTAAAATGGGTAGTCAGGAAAGCTGCAAACAAAAATCTAAAACCCCAGACTCTAGAAAGCGAAAGCATATATCAGATCCCCGGACATTGGACCCATATTCAACAATCGGGGAAATGGAAAAGATCCCAGTTAATTTACCAAAATCTCAAGAAAAACCAGCAGGTGGCCGGACAACGAGAAGTAAATCTGTTGCTTGAGGATTTTTTTTTTTTTCAGCGTTTTTACATATATATATATATATATTTACACTCTCATAGGAGAACTAGAGACCATTTACACATCTGGAGATGATCTGTCAGTCTCATTCTGAGGAATAACTCCACCCACCCACCCCCTAGGAAAGTAACGCTAATGATGTTATTGTTGTCTGTAATTTGATAGTGCTCCATTTTGCCTCCAGTGAGTTGCATCTTTTAATTCCAGAAGAATGCTAAACAAAATCGTTGAAGCAGCCCCTCTTCCTACCAATCATTTGAAATTTTTATCCTTTCGTTGCCTTTTTTCTCCTCCGGACGGTTTTAACATGTTGTAAGTTTGTCATTTACGTTAGAGAAATTGAAGGTTCATTTATGGGAAGTATATTTTAAATGGCTTAATATATAAAAGTTTATCTATGTTTTTTTGTGAAAAACTGTGGTATTTCTCAACATATTTTGATATATTGAAACTTCAATCTATAAAATTAAACCTTTTAAACTCTTTATTTAATTTGTTGAATGTTTTAATTTATAAAATTAGACTGATTAAATTTTTACTATACGGTTAAGTATGTAAAAAATTATTGTTTTAGAAATTATATTAACTACATTTCAAATTATTGTTGAATCGGGCAAGCTATTATTATCTCCTAGGTTTTACCAAATATATTAATCCATCATTGATTTCACCATCAATAATTGGGAGGAAAGATGAGAAAATGCCTTGCAAGATTTTCCTCCGCAGCAACTAATTTGGAGTTGTGTTGGATTCGAGTTGGTGTGTAAACGAGCAAATTTCTATTGAACTTAAAAAGTGAATTTAGCTTGTTAGAAGTGAATTCGAATTCAAATTTAAGCTTGAATTTAGTTTATTTAAGAATAATCAAACTTGAGCTTTGTTTAGGCTTAAGCTCATTTGAGTCCTATGTGAATCCAACCTTTGTTCTTTTATAGTTTTTTTTTTTTTCAAAGTAAATTATACTGCCTCTATTCCATAATACTTGTCCCGTTTGAGAAAATAGCTTATTTCAAAATATTTGTCATATTTGTGGATTCAAAGAGTAACAAATATTTTTTTTCCATGTTTTCCCTTTGTACCAATAATTATTACTTCAATTTAATGATTTTCTTAAAGAATTAGTATTAAATTGAGAGTAATATAGTGAATTTACTCAATATTTTATTGTAATTTAGACAAATTTAATGGTTTTCTAAAAAAAACGTGAAATTTCAAATATAACGAGCAGTGTGGAACAAAGTAGTGGTTCATTACAAGTTAAGTTTGAGTTTGAGTTTGAGTTTTACACTCATTGGTTTGATATGTTTAATGTTTTAAGGCAAATTTCAAGAAACTTTTGTAATTAAATTGATATGTATATTGACTTTTGGGGAGATTCAAATTTGAGTCATTATTTGCTTAATGTCAACTTACATAAACCTCCGTCTCATAATAATTGTCACATTTAAAAAAATAGCTTGTTCCAAAATATTTGTCACAATTGTAGTTTCAAGGAGTAATAAATATTTTTTTTCATATTTATAATTTATACATCAACAATAATTACTACTTCAATTTAATGGTTTTCTTAAAAATTTAGTATGAAATTAAAGGTAATATAATCAATTTACTCAATAATTTAATGTGAATTCCAAATGCGATAAGCATTATAAAACAGAGGTGGTAATATATTTTGAATTATTAACAAATATTAATATAAATCAAGTAGCAGAGCAGGTATTTTATTTATTAATTTTTTTCCTCTTTAAAACTAAGGCAATTGTTAAAGTTTATTTACAAAATATTTAATTAGAAAATATAGAGAATATAATCAACATATTGTTTTCTACAAGTTAATAGACCAACATTGAGAACAAAAGCAGGTCTATGTAAGACTAGTTTATTGTTAAAAGACCAAATCTTGATAGAAGTTAATTACTGTTCACTAAGGTCCATCAAATCTTGAATGGTCAACCATAAACAAGCATAAAAAGAGCTTTGACCATAAAATATTATTTAATATTGTAAGAGTAAGACCTGACTGGAGTGAAATTTTGAAGGCAGGAAACTAGCACATGTGACAGTTTAGATGGAATTGTTACTGTTACAAGAAAATTTGCAAACAAGCAAGGCAGTAGATTGGGCTGCAAAGTTTATTTTCTAATTTTTGTTTTGTAAACTAGACCATAAATGTTAAACTTGAAAAATGATCATACACATGTATAAACTATAATATGATGGACACAAGAATATAGGTTTTCTATATGTTGCATGCAAAGTAATGTTCTTAAAATGATTTGGGAAGCTACTCACTAAAGCCAAAGAATTAAAAACCAAGAATGAGAAGTAGCAATAGCTCTGCCAAAGTATTGAATCGCCTAACTCCAAACTTCAACCAGAAGTTGACTTGAAAGAGTCGCATGAAGAAAAGATTTAACTGTATGATCCACTTGAAGAAACAAACACTATTCAAACTTCAAAGCGATCCTGTTCGATGGTCTTGTGAATCATTATTTATAAGTGGCCTCAACAGTAATGCACTGGGATTTCTAAAGAAGAAGATGTTAGGTTACCGCCAATAAAAATACGAGAATAATTAAACAGTGGAAAAATTAAAATTGGGACACACAGAAATTTACGTGGTTCACCCTCAACTGTTTAGGGTTACGTCCACGGGACCAACTCCAAATATTTTTCTTCCACTATTAAAAATAGTAGGCTTACAAATAGAGTAATACAAAATAGTGGCACTCACAAGTGTTTCCCAAAAACACCCTAATAATCTTCACTATTTTCTAAACCCTTAGTTTTAAGAACCAGTAAAATGCACTGGGTTTTCTAAAGAAGAAGATGTTGTTACCGCCAATAAAAATACGAGAATAATTAAAACAGAGTGGAAAAATTAAAATTGGGACACACAGTAACATTTAACGTGGTTCACACTCCACTGTTTAGGGTTACGTCCACGGGAACCAACTCCAAATATTTTTCTCCCTTATTAAATGTAGGCTTACACAATAGAAGTAATACAAATAGTGGGGCACCTCACAGTGTTTTCCCAAAAACACCCATAAAATCTTCCACTATTGTTCTTAAACCCTTAGTTTTTAAGGAACCTCTTAAACTGAACTCTCTAATTCTTTCTTCTCTCTGCGTTTTGTTGGTGCATTTACACATTGGAGAAACATCCTCTCCCTATTTATAGGAGAGAGAATGAGAAAGCCGTGTGTATATTACAACACGGCTCTCCATTAATTTCCATAGTTGGTTGCCGACCTTTCGAATGGTTGGGCAACCAATCTTTTGCTTTTTTTCTTTATTTAGTTTTTTCCTTTCAAAAACTGTGTGGGTCCACTTGACGTGGGCCACACCACGCACCAACAATCTCCCCCTGCAGCGCTCAAGTGGGGATGTCCAGCTAAATCTCTCGCACATCCCTGCAGCTAATCGGCAATATCAAAAACTTGTCTTTTGGAAAGAATCGTTCGTTAACATATCTGATTCCATTTTCAATCTGTATGGATCTTCTCAGCTGTAACTGCTATCATCTCCAATACACCCTGATCCAATGATATCTAACATCAATGTGCTTTGGTGATCTTGAAATGAAAGGAGGAATCTTCCCAAGGGTTTAAATCGCACTCTGAACTATTGCAGAATATCACAAATATCGTTCTTGATGAATTTCGAGTTCATTCAAGAACTTCTTCATCCATAGCAACTCTTTGCATGCTTCTGTTAGTGCTATGAATTCTGCCTCAGTTATTGATAGAGCAACACATTTCTGCAATCTTTATAGCCACGACACGGCTCCCCCTACAAATGTGATTAGATATCCTAATGTAGACTTTCTCGAGTCAACATCCCCATCCATATCTGCATCGGTATAACCGACTAATACTGGCTTCTCATCTCCAAAGCATAAACATACTTTGGCTGTACCTCGAAGATACCTGAAAATCCATTTCACTGCAGTCCAATGTTCTTTTTCAGGATTTGAAAGAAACCGACTCACTACTCTAACTAAGTGAGCAATATCTGGCTGTGTACAAACCATGGCATTCATCAAGTTTCCAACTGCTAAAGCATATGGAATCTTTTCCTTTTCTTTCTTCTATCCATCCGTAGAAGGGCACTGGTTAGAACTCAATTTACAGTGGTTAGTAAAAGGACAACTAACTGCTTTAGCATTCTCCATTCTAAACCTTTGAAGTACTTTCTCAATGTACTTCTCCTGTGGCAACCATAATTTCTTGGCTCTTTGATCTTCATGCCAAGAATTTGCTTTACTGGTACTGCCATCTGAATCTCATCATTCCAGGCCTTCTTGAAAATTTCTTACACTCTCGGCCTCTGTAGACACTATCTGCTTACCATATCAAACCTGGCTAAGTCTAGTTGGAATTCCTCTTTCATATTGGGCTACGGACATTCTGTTCTGTCGCAAGGTATAAGATTCCTTTCTTCTCCGCATCTAGGTAAGCCTCGTATAATGGAACTTCTTCTTGAATTCATCCAAGAAGAAATTGCCAAGAGGTACGCTGCTCTGCTGATTGCACAGTGGTCCACCATGTATATGCCTCCTCTATCAGCAATGAAGTGGCACAAACCAACTTGTCTTCGGATGTACACTGCAATTGTTCTAGGACTATGCTGATCATCAACACGAGCCCGTAATGCAGCAAACTCTTCGGCACTATGCTCGGGCTGTGGTACTGCGCTGGCTGCAAAAGCGTGAGATGCTGAGCCGCAGTAAAACTGTGATGCCTGAGACCAGATGCCATATACCTTCCTCTTCTTCTCGCCCCCTACAGTCTCGAGATAAAGTGCTACTGTAACACCCCTTCCCGGTCCACCCGTTAAACTGGAGCCTCACCCTCCACTGCTCTAGAGGCGTGTGACTCACTCTCACCTTCCTGTGACATTCTCCTAAAACTGCTCCTGGAGGCGTGTGACTACTTTTCACCTTCCTGAGACATCCTCTCTAAAATAATAACAACTGCTTTAGTTCATCACGGGGTAGTCATGCATGTACAATATACTGACTTATGCATTCAAGCCCGGGGAATTAAACTAGGCGCTCTGATTACCAAGTCAATTTGTAACACCTTCCCGGTCCACTCGTAACAGTACCGATGAACCGAGTCGAGATGCTACAACACTGGTTGACTGTATCATCTGACATGCTGAAAACATAACTGTATATTGTATAATAACATGCTGGTACTTGTTTCCAAAAAAATAATGTAATTTATATTTACAAACATGATACAAGTTTTACAAAATGAAAATGGGCCCAACTGTGGTGCTCATGTACACTGCCCATAAAAAGAAAAAAACAAAATGAGAGTTTCTACCCTGAAGACGCGAGTCTTCTACAG